AATAGCTAAAGCAATTTTAGAAAAGAACAAAGCTGGAGGAACTTACACTACCTGGTTTCAAGACCTATGATAAAGCTATAGTAATCAAGACTGTGTGGAAATGGTGTAAGACACAAAGGTCACTAGAGCAGAAAGGAGATTCAAGAAATAGGCCCACTCATACATCATCAGTTCATTTTCAATAAAGATGCCAAGGCGATTCAACAGGGAAAGAAAAGTCTGGAAGTGGACAGGTAGGTAAAGACTTCTTAGGACATAAAAGCACAAACTGTAGGGCCAGCCCCAGTGGCCTAGTGGTTAAGTTTGGCATGCTCCACTTCGGCAGCCTGGGTTCAATTCCCAGGCGCAGACCTACACCACTTGTCTGTGGCCATGCTGTGGTGGTGGCTCACATGAAAATAAAAGAAAAGACAAAGATTGGCAACAGATGTTACCTCAGGGCAAATCTTCCTCAGCAAAAAAAAAAAAAAAAACACAAACCATAAAAGAAAAAATAGATAAATTAAACTTTATCAAAATTCAAAACTTTTGTTCTTCAAGAGGCAATTAAGAAAATGAAAAGTCACAGTGAGGGAGAAAACATGTATAATACATATATCTAACAGATGACTAGTACCCAAAACATAATAAAGAACTCTCAGAACTCAATAATATGAAAATAATCCAATTTTTAAAAAATGGGCTAAAGACTTGAATGGACACTTCACAACAGAAGATACACAAATGGCCAATAAGGACTTGAAAAGATGCTCAACATCAATAGTCATCAGGGAAAGACAAGTTAAAACCACAATGAGCTACCATGACACACTAATTACAATGCCTAAAACTTAAGACTAATGAACACCAAGTGGTGGGGATGACATAGAGCAAGTGGAATGCTCATATGTTGCTGGTGGGAATAAAAATGATACAGCCACCTTGGAAACTGTTTCTTAGCAAGTTAAACAAAAAGTTTACCATACAACCTAGCCGATATACTCCTAGGTATTTGCCCAAGAGAACTGAAAACACATATTCACACAAGGACCTAAGCAACAATGTACATAGCAGCTTTACTCACACTAGCCAAAAACTGGAAAAAGAAATGTCCATCAACAGGTGAATAGATAAATAAAATATAAAATATCCATAAAACAGAACACTATTCAGCAATAGAAAAGATGCTATGAGAACACATAATAAGGACTCTAACTGAAGTCAAGGAGGGCTTTCCGAGGGAAGAAGAGAGTATCCAAAAGGAGACTAGGGATTAGCGGGGGAGTTGGAGCGGGTGATGAGAAATAAAGAGCATTTCCCGCAGAGCCTGTTCAAGGGCCCCTGGCAGGAGGAGAGAGGGCACATTCACAAAAGTGAGAGCTGGTCTTGCTTAGAGAGCCAGGAAAGACAGGGGCAACAGGAGCTAGGCCTGGAAGTTGGCAAGGGCTGTGCCAGCAAGGCCTTACAGGCTTTACTAAGGGTTTTGATATTTATCCTACAGGCAATGAGAAACCTCTGAAAAGCTTTAAAACAAGAGGATGGTATAATTGGCTTGACTTTTTTAAAAAGATCCCACTAACTACAGTGTGGAGAGCTGACTGCCAGGGGAGTGAGCGGCTGTGAGGGAGCTGGTCATGGCCTCCGCTGAATTCCTGGTAACAGATGATGGTGGCTTACACTGAGATGGGATAATGGAGACGGAGAGAAATGGAAGGATTCAACAGGTATTTGAGAAGTCTGTTGGGCTGCATTCGGGGGGTAAGGAAGATGATGGTGTTAAGATTGACATTAAGATTGACTCTAAGATTACGGCTCAGGGAATGGAGTGGGAAGAGATCCTATTCTCCAACACAGAGAATGCTGGAAAAAGACCTCTCCTTTCACGGAGAAGATCTAAAGTCAGCTCTGGACCCACTGAATTTGAGATGCCTGGGGGACATCCAAATGGCAATGTCTACTAGGCAGTTGGACATGTGGATGTGGATGCTCACAGAAGCCCAGGATGGAGATTCCAAAGTGGGTGTTATGTAAGACGGTAATTGACGCTGTAGAAATGGATGCAACAGACCAGAGAGACAGCATAGGGTGAGGATAGGAAAGAACCTGGAACCAAGTCCTAAGGAACTCCAACTTTTAGAGGATGTGTAGGAAAAGGTGAGATGGCAAAAGCAATTAAGACGTGACCAAAAAAAGGCAGGAGAACCAGAAAAGCATAACATATCAGAATTCAGGGAAAGAGAATGTTTCAAGAAGGGTGTGGAAACTGTGTTGAATGCTAATAAAACAGTAAGAAAATGTCCACTGAATTTAGTACCATAGAGGGCACTGCTAAACTTAGGAAGAGTAGATCCTATGGAAAAAAAGGGCTTAACCCAGATTAGAGTGGACTGAGCGATGATGGAGAAATAAGGAAGTGGAGAAAGTGATTATACAACATTAGATAATGGGCCCAAGTTCCTCCTCCATCAAGCTGGGTATTAATGATGATGAGAGAACACCGAACTTGAGAGAGACTGTGAAAGCTCAGCCCTTGAATTCAGCCCGAGAGGTTGCATTTTCCTTTTCCTGTGACACAGGTGGGCATTATGAACCACGAGTTCAGAAGTTTCTTTGATTATGTGACCTCGTGACTACCATGAACATAGAGGAGGGGGTTCACTGGGGACCTTCAACACGGGTGACACATGACAGTGACATGAGAAAGGCAGGAGGTGGGGGAAGGACAGGTGGCGATAAAGAAACAGTCATGCTCCTCAACACCTGCTCTCCAGTAAGTTTCCGCTTTGCAATTAAATCCAGATACTCATGAATATTTATAGAAAATCATAAAAGCAAAACGGCACAAATAAATTTGGAAGCAAGCAACAGAGAAAGGTCTCTTCCTTCATTCCCCTGGTAATATCTAGGAAGCACATGTGTGTGCAGGGGAAGAAAATAAACGAGAAGATAGAACTCCTCGGTTCTAGAGGAGAGCAGAGTGCAAAAGAAAGAAAAGCTAAGTGTGAAGACACCTGGGGTTCTGGGCCACAAAACTAATGACTCAATGAATGAATGAATGAGTACACAATAGCGAATAAGCATAAGTCCTAGGGAAAGAATGGAGATTTTGTGAGTAGGGATAGGGCCACAGACGGCAAAGCAGAGACCATCCCGTAGGTCATGAGGAAACCATGTTCTATCTCTGTTTCCTTGGGTGTGTGTGTCAAGAGGACATTGAGGAGCTTCTAACCTGAAGCTTTACAGGTCGAAGGCGGACATAGCCAGAAAAGCACCAGGGTGGCTCAGGGGTTGGGCCCAGCTCACAGGGAAAGGGAACATCCGGGGAGGGAACGGAGCACCAACCCCCCCTATAAAGAGCCGCGCAGGCGCGTCGGCCCCCGGAATCCCCGACCTTGCTCAAGTCAGCCGGCATGTCGGCGCCTCAGCCTCTGGATGTTGTACCGAGTGGCTCACTCTCTACGAAGCTTGGGAGGAGGGACTGCTTCCACTTCGGAGCGTCCACTAGGCTAACACCAGCCCATATGCCTTTATGTGCTCTCTCACTGACGCCCCACAGAAATCCTGGGATGTGAGTATTCCCATCCTCACTCGGCTGAAGAGGAAACTAAAGTTCAGAAAATTGATCTGCCCAAGGCCACCATGAAGAGACTTGGATTTGAGCCCACGTCGCCCAACTCTAAATCCCACGCTCTTTCCACCAGAACAAGATGCAGGCTAGGAGAGACCAATCTGTCTCAACCGAGAGGGCGGAAGAAACTTGTTGGGGGCTGAGGGCAGGAGACCATACAGAAAGGAAAAAATTGAAGAATAAAAGGAAGTAGGAAACCTCTTTTCTGAAAATGAGTAGAATTACAGAAGAAATCGCCTAGAAAGAGAAGATAAGATAATCTGACTTGGGAAATGGGAAAAATGCCTGGGACTGAAAAAAATTCAGGAACTAGGGACAGAAAATCTGGGTTTGGAAGTCGGAGCAGGGATCTCTAGGGGGAGAATGGAGATGCTGGCCGGTGCCCTTTGCTTCGGTCTGAGAGGAGCCAGCGCTGGATCACCGACCTTCCCCTCTCTGGTCACGTGACTCGTGCTGGTATAAAAGCTCTCTCCCAGCCAGGTTCATTACAACATTTTCCTGTGTGACATGTGCAGTACCAGTGGCTAAAGCTCTGTTCCTTTCTCCCAGGAGCCTTCAGACTTTCCTTCAGGACAAATCCCAAGAAGCCATCCATCTGGAGCAAAGACAAGGCAAGGCAGCTGGCTCAGTGCTGGCTCTGGGAAGTGAGGCCGGGATCAGAATGGAGGGGAGGTGCTGGGGGCAGGAGGAGGCCTGTCAGAAACTGAATGGGAGGCTCACACCCGGAGACAGGAGCAAGTGTGGGGCCAAGGAAGCTCAGACCGGGCATCCACCCCAGAGAGAGGATAGAGGGGCCAGACCGTGTGTGGGCAGCAAGGGTTCCCACCAAATGGAAACTGAGTCACCCCATTGAGGAGAGTTCTTCTGTTTCTAGTCAAAACACCAGGCTCGGGAGCCGGTTACTGCCTGTGGGCTTTTCTGAATATTCTCTAAAATCTCTTGGGGGACAAGGCCCAAAAGATACTACTGGCTCCCCTTTCCTCCTGCTTCCCGCTCCCTGCACCTCACTAGCTTACCCTTTTCAATACAGGCCCAGAGTTGTACTGGACGGGGAGGAGAAGATGGAGGCGAATCTGTGTTCTGCAAAAGGAGAGGAAAACAAGGTGGGGAGATGGGTTGGGGGCTGGGCATTTGCTTCCTGGCGGGTGGCGGGTTCCGTGGAGAGCCAGCATTGGGTCATGGGGCCTGGGTTTTCAGAGCCCAGTTCTCCTGAGAGACATCTTGTGGCTTTCTCCTCAGTGTGATGAGGCTTGCCTCTTCTCTCCACAGGTCTCTGGCTGAGGAAGGGACTTAAGAAAGGTCAGACACTGATAACAGTATCTTCCTGTATCTGCGAGGAGAGAAGGAGAGTGGCTAGGAACCCAGAGGGGGAATTCCCTCAGGAAGCCAAGGGCTGGTCTCCCTGACAGACGCATGACGGCAAACGTAATAACTACTGCCTAATTCCCACCCAAGGCAAAGTCAATAATTGCTCTGGGCAGTTCTGGCAGGTGTGTGAGCAAGCAGTGGTGGCAGCAGAAAGCCCTGGCCCGGGAAGAGGAGCGTGCCAGGGAGGATGTGCACATCCTGAGCCAGAGGAGGGTCTGCAGGCTGTGAGTGGGGCCTCCTGCCTGCCCTTACTCATCGTCTTCCAGAATGGACACGCCAAGCTCCTTGATCTTCACGTTCTACATCATCATCTTCCTCACTGGTCTCCCTGCCAACCTGCTGGCCCTGTGGGCCTTCGTGGGGCGGGTCCGCCAGCCCCACCCCGCTCCCATCCACATCCTCCTGCTCAACCTGACGCTGGCCGACCTCCTGCTGCTGCTGCTGCTGCCCTTCAAGATCATCGAGGCTGCGTCTGACTTCCGCTGGTACCTGCCTCAGGTAGTCTGTGCCACCATGGGTTTTGGCTTCTACAGCAGCATCTACTGCACCACGTGGCTCCTGGCGGGCATCAGCGTCGAGCGCTACCTGGGAGTGGCTTTCCCCGTGCAGTACAAGCTGTCCCGCCGGCCTATGTATGGAGTGGTTGCTGCTCTCGTCGCCTGGATCATATCCTTTGGTCACTGCACCATCGTGGTCATCGTTCAGTACTTTAACTCAACCCAGAAGGCCACAAATCTAGAAGTTACCTGCTATGAGAACTTCACCCAAGAGCAGCTGGACGTGGTGCTTCCTGTGCGGCTGGAGCTGTGCCTCGTCCTCTTCTTCATCCCCATGGTGATCACCATCTTCTGCTACTGGCGCTTTATATGGATCCTGCTCACCCAGCCCCATGTGGGGGCCCAGAGGCGGCGCCGAGCTGTGGGGCTGGCTATCGTGACGCTCCTTAATTTCCTGGTGTGCTTCGGGCCTTATAACATATCCCACCTGGTGGGGTTTCACACCAAGAAAAGCCCCAAGTGGCGGGCAGAAGCCGTGGTAATCTGTTCCCTCAATGCCAGTCTGGACCCCCTGCTCTTCTATTTCTCTTCTTCGGCTGTGCGCAGGGCCTTTGAAAAAAGGCTGCAGGTGCTGCGGGACCAGGGATCCTCCCTGCTGGGACTCAGAGGCAGAGAGTCAGTGGAGGTGACCAACGGGGTCAGGGATGTGAGTCCAGTAGACGGAGCGCCAAGTTCTGACTCCGCGACAGACTAGGGATGGGACCTTTGGAGACACTCGGCTCCGTGCAAGTTGAGCAGGCTGGGAGAGAGAGACATGAGGGTCTGTCCCAGATTCAGGAATCCTCAGACCCAGTCCACTACTGGGACTGCGAAAATCTCTCTCACCAGTTTGGTATCCCTTCCTGAATTTTCCTTCTCAAAGGAGCACAGCTCCATGGCAAAAGAAGAAATGGCTAGGCATAGCAGCACTGTCAGACCCAAGTTTCGGAAGCAAGGTAGCTAATGTCAGTCCAGTCCTTGTGAGGTGGGTGGTAGCTGGGGATGATCGGGCTGAAGCAGAGTCTCAAAGCAATCTTGCTGTAAGCTTTGCAACAACTCCTAGACGCTGGTCTAGCCGTTGATGCTGGAGAGAAGCCAATGGGAGAGAGATGGAAGAGAAAAACTAAGTGAGGTCAAAGGAGACTTGAGAAGGTTCTGAGCCAAGGGGACTGGAGGGAGGCCTGGGGGCTTGGACCTCTGAGGATCTAGGTTTGCACTGTACCGACTGGACCTGCTGCTTCGTAAGTATGGTCCAGTCGTCTTCGCGTGTGTATCTGTCTCCCCCATTAAACCGGGAGCTGCTAAGGTCTGGGTCTCGTCTTCTCCCTCCACAGCACCCCACACAGGTCAGGAATAGCGTGGCACCCGCCAGGCAGACGTCGACACTACTAGCTCAGGACAAGACAACCTGATCTGGCAGATTGAAAACGAAGATTATAAAACTCGGAAGCGCGAGCCCCCGGTTTGTGTAACATTTCTGCAGGCACAGGGAGGGCAAACATGGGAGGGAGAAGCAGACTCAGCAGCAAAGGGGGAAGGATGCATCCGAACCCACAGCGACATTTTCAGGTAAAGATGTGAGGAGAGGGAGTAAGACAGAATCCTGTTTAGATGGATGGAGAGAGACTGGACTTAGAAAGAGAATGCAGGCTGAGTCCTGCCTCAGGAGTTATCAGTGTATCACAAGGGCTTCAAACACATCACCCTCCTGCTTAGAAACATGCAGTTTTCCCATCATCAAAACTTTTCTTCCTCGAAACTCCTATCATATCATTCCATCACCTGCTTTGTGTCCCCTCTCCCTTCCCAATTCCACCTGCCTAACTCATTTCTCCACAGCAAGGACCCTTAGACCCTCCAGCCCTCTCTAGTTATCTCTAGTTATCTGACCCTCCAGCCCCTCGCCTGGTGGCTTGCAACAGAGGCTGCACATCAGAATTATGTGTAGAGGTATAAAAATAATACAGATGGCCTCAAATCTACTGACGGAGAATCTCTGGGGGTGGGGCCCCAGCAGGCCAGCTTATGAAGCTCCCCAAGTGATTGACAGGCAGCTTGGGTCAGGAATCGCCGGCCTAGCTCTGGGGCCCAATCTCTCCAAGAAACTGTTCTTCAGAGAAGCCTTTCCTTCTTATAAGCCTCCCTCACCTCAACCCCATACGTCCCCATCTTCTGATGCTTGCTTTTTCCCCTCTTACAAAACCCCACTCAATATTCACTTTCTCCAGAAAGACTTCCCTCATTATTCCCACCCAGCTGAGAGCTCATTTTCTCTGTTTTCCTCGCTCAAAACAACACTAGAGCGGTGTCATAAGGGCCCTGACTTCAGTGTTGGTTCCGCTTCCTAGCTGAATGACCTTGAGCAAGTCACAACCTCCTGCCTCCATTTACAAATCATAACAATGAGGATAAGGTACGCCTCCCAGGGTTATTCTGAGGATTCAAATGAGACTGCACATATAAAACTGCTGAGAAATTAGAGAGTATTATTTACCTCTAAGATATCAACCCATGCGAAACACAAATATAGCCCCACTTAAAAGAAATCTAGTAAGTAGAAATTTAAAATAATGGAAATAATACATCAGAAAGCCAACTATATAGGATGGTTTGACAGTCATGGGTGAGAAAAATATCTGGGATTTTCAGCTGACTGTAGGCTCCCTGTGCGTCTGTGATGTATTAATTTGATTTTGGGTGGCATTAAAAGAAATAGAGTCTAAACAAGTTGATGATAATCCGACTCCACTGAGGTCTGGTCAGTAGCATATTCCATTCTGAGCAACACATTTTTAAAAAGGATACTAGGGGCCAGGCCAGCGGTGTAGCAGTTAAGTTTGTGCGCTCCGCTTCAGCGGCCCGGGGTTCGCCAGTTCGGATCCTGGGCGTGGACCTATGCACCGCACATCAAGCCATGCTGAGGCGGCGTCCCATATAGAGCAACTAGAAGGATGTACAACTATGACATACAACTATCTACTAGGGCTTTGGGGAGAAAAAGGGGAAAAAAATGAGGAATATTGGCAACAGATGTTAGCTCAGGGCCAATCTTTCTCTAAAAAAATAAAAAATAAAAATAATAATATAAAAGGAATAAAAAATAAAAAAGACACTAACTCAGGAATCAAGTTCAGAAAAATTAACCAAAATGTTTTGGAGATTTAAAACCATATGATGAAAAAAAAAAAAAAAAGTAGGGCCGGCCCCGTGGCTTAGCGGTTAAGTGTGCACATTCCGCTGCTGGCGGCCTGGGTTCGGTCCCGGGTGCGCACCGAAGCACTGCTTCTCCGGCCATACTGAGGCCGCGTCCCACATACAGCAACTAGAAGGAGGTGCAGCTATGACATACAACTATCTACTGGGGCTTTGGGGGAATAAATAAATAAATAAAATTATAAAAAAATAAAACCATATGATGATGATGATGATGATGATATATATATTAAATCCCAGGCACTGTTCTAGGGAAGGAGCCTGACACAATTCAGGGAACTTAATTAGCAGGAACAGGATGATCTCCAATGGAAGATGCAGTCTACATAGCCCCAGAGGGAAGAACAAGGGTCATGGGTGAAAGGGGCAGGAAGTGACATCTTAGGGCTGTTTAAAAGAGACCTGGCCACCTCCACAAGGTAGTTGCTCCCCAGGCTCCAGGATATCCCAGCAGAAGAGAGAAACAGGCATCTTAGGACATGGAGGAAACCCACACATCTGATAAGGGCTGACCAGTTAACTGCCACACCCCTTCTACCTCTGAGATTCCAGGGTTTCAGGGCCATGGCTGCTCTTGCTAATCATGAAAGTGCAAGAAAATCTCTGGACCTGGTCTGAGACCTTCAGGGTGAAGCTTCAGCTACTCACTGACAAGTATTTGATCCTTATCAAGTCACTTGATAGATACCCCTTTCTTCACCAGGAAATTAGTAATCCATTTGTTCAACAAATATGTATGGATTGCCTACTATAAGCTAGATACTTTTCCGGGGGCTGGGGATGCAGGGTGTATCAGAGACAAGGGACCTGCCCTCTTGGGGCTTCCATTCTAGTGGGAAAAAATAGTTAACAAACAAATAAACAAAGTAATTTCAGAATGTGGCAAATGGTTTTCACAAACAAACTAAAATAGAATATGGGAGAAAGTATAAGAGGGGGTTTAGAAGACTCTTGCAAGTCAGTGATGTTCAGCTGAGACCTGAACAATGAGAAGGAGTTGCCATACAAAGGCCCACGAGAAGAGCATTCTAGAAACAGGAACCGCTGGTGCAAAGGCCCTGAGGAGGGAGATGACCTTAGCATCTCAAGGGCGGAGAGAAGGCCAGTGTGGGGCTATAGCAGTGGTCTGCGAACTTCGGCAAGTGTGCAAATCACGTGGTTTGTCGAAGCCTCAGTTATTGTCTTCCCTCCCTCCAGTTTCAGAATCGGTAGGTCTGGGGTGGACCCAGGGTTTTGTATTTCTAAGAATTCCAGGTGATGCTGATGCTGGTGGTTCGGGGACCACACTTTGAGAACCAATGGGCTGGAACACCATGACCTGGGGAGAGAGCAACAGAAGATGAAGTCAAGGAGGGGAGCAGGGACCAGACCATGCAAAGTGTGTTAGGCCACAGATGGGAATCTGAATTTATCCTAAGAGCTTTTGAAGCTATCTGAGGGTTTGAAGCAAGAGAGTGGAATGATCCGATTTCCATTTGACGACAATCACTCTGGTACCCGTGCCTGACACTGAAGTGAGATGGTTGTCAGGATCAAGAAGATAATGTGCGTGAACCATAAAGTACCACAGCAAACATGTAGGACTTCCATCAGGCTGGAAGCTCCCTGATGGTGGGCGCTGTTTCCTCTTTTATTAGAATTGGCCGTCCAAGGACCAAATAGCCAGAAGGAGGCTTTATAAGTTTATCATGCATCTATTTGATAAACTGATGTCCCCAGTATGCACTGGAAGACGTTTAACAACCAGTTCTGGGGATGGGGAATTGGGGGTGGGGGAGGTGGCACTGCTTGGTAGCACTTGTTAATTTCTGTGGCATACACACTCCCACCAGGGCCAATTTCCACCAACGGGAAGACACTGAGCACAGATTTTGCAAGCGATGTTAAAAATCAGCTGTTGCAAGCCAGGTCAAGCACATCCCTGGAGGCACCTCCAGGGATGAGCACATATGCTTAGCTGGCAGACAGATCACATCCCACTTGAAAAAATTTTCTCTCTCCCTGGCTCCGGATAGTACACGGCTCTGGCACAGGACTTTCGACACAATAAACACCGGCTAAATGTGGCTGGCGGGGGTCTGATCTAAGAGGATCCGGGTGGCTGGTTAGATCACAGGACTCCTCTGAGTCCCCCACAGGATGACAGATGGGTAAACAGAAATATTAGTGCCTGGTTAATGAATAACACAGACGGCAGCCTCGAGTCGCTACCAGGAAACAGGGTTGGAGGGAGCCCGCTCAGCCTGACCTGGGGACGAACCAGCAGGAAAGGGGAGCCTGGCACAGATTTTATTTCACTTCCCCTTTCTGGAAAAGATGTTCTTGTGCCCCTTCCTCAGAAATTCTCATCTGACCACACAGCCAGAGCTCACAGGTCACGTGGTTTCGTGGTGATCATTGCGGTTGGAGAAAGCAGGGGTAGGCAGGTGTGGAGAGGGTCAGAAGGAAAGCACCCAGCCGAGATTCCAACTCCACTGCATTCAACTTCCCGGCCCCTTAGCTGTTAGTTCTCTTTTTTCAGCTTTCTCCACCTCCTGTGGTTAGATACTTTTGCCCCAATTTTTCTTTTCATTATTTTTTCTAGTCACAGGAAATGAGGACATTCTCATCGACAAATTGCACATTCTACCAGGAAACTGGGCCAAAGCTCTCTAAGCTCTCAGAAGCAGTAGTCCAGTAACACACTTGGCAAACTTTCCAGTGTCTGGTGAGGTGGAAGGTGTGAGGTCAAGTGGTGGGGGTGGGGCTTGGAGCCCACACCACCAGTGCAGGCCATGGTCATCCATCCGCCAGCAGCTTACCCAAGGAGGGGCTGCCACGGCTCTGTTGTAAGCC